TGTGTGGTCAAAGAATCTTCAGCCACCCTCTAATTAAACACTTAATTTAATTTTGAAGACTATATATTAATAATATAAATAATGTAATATTCTTGACAAGAATAAGACCTTATTGATAGGCACCTTGTACCAGAATGAGACCAAGACCGCTAGCTACATTATTGATTAATCAGAATATTTTCACTTAATTAGTTTTAATTATTTATTTGCAATTAAAACATCATGACTACTAGTTAAGCATGCATGCCTCCCATTCGTCACTTGATTAATGAAAATGTTTAAAAGGTTTTGATTTTGGAATTTTTTATAGAGACGAATTCAGAATTTTAGACGTAAATTTTTAGTTGAGAAAGTTTAGTACCACTAGATTCTAAAGTGTATAACTATTTTATTTATATTAGAGCTGATTTGGTATTAGGTATACTGAATAATTAATTTTAGAATGAATTTATCTCATATTTAATTAAAATAAAATTACAAGATAATTTGTTCCCTAGTATTATTTTCCTTCACATTAAGGATGGAATAACAATCTTAAAATATTAATCTCAAAGTAACTTGATCCTCAACCAAATTATAAGACATTAATGTTTTACACATATGTAACTAATGTAAGATGGATTTGAAACATTAAGTATGTAATCCACATTTATTTAAAGGGAAATTAATGCCATCTTTGTTTCAATTTAAAGTTGGTATCAAAAAGTAAGCCAATATTGATAAAAGGGGTTCCTTAGCTATTTTATTTATAAATTATAGTATCTTTTGTATATTTCTGTGTGTTTCTATAATTGTGACAAAAGGTTCAATCTTAAAATTGTGAATTTGAATCGTCAAGAAAATATAAAGATTAAAGCTTCTAGGGAAGAGAAAAGAAATCAAAAAGATGAAGTTAAGCTAATATCAAGAGTCTGTTTAATTTGGATTACTTTATTTTAAATACCTTTAAATCAAAATAATTTTAAGCACTTTTATAATGTTTATATAAATTAATGCTTATTAAACGTTTGTTTTAAAGTCAAAGAAAATAAAAAATTATAAATTTTATAATTTTTTACTTATAAATCATAAATTATGGACCCATTCAAAGTAAAGTACATAGTGTTAGATCTGGGAATTAATTCATGCAGGCCTCATGTACAAGTCAGAAAGAATCTTAATGCTCTGCACATGGAATGACCCCTTCACACTCCACACACAATCTCACACTTTTCCACCATATAAGTAGCAAACAAAAGTACAATATATAACCACCAACAAGAATTGTGATGGAATGGTAACTGGTAAGTACTACTTCATCGAATCTCTTTGAATATAAAGTCAATTTTATTAGAAAACGCTTTATTCCCCAATGTAGAACTTCTTATTGACTTTTTTGTTATAAAACCAAGTCGTCTGACTTTCTTAGAGTCTTCTGCTCAAGTGACATGATGGCGTAGGATTTATAGTTATAGATACCCATAGGTAAGTCCAACTCTGATTTTTGTCATATATCATGCATCTCCTATTGGACATATGATCATCATGCACCTAAAATAAGTATAAATGATGGTTAATTACTTAATTATCGTTAATAAAGCACTAAATGCAAGGGTGTTTATGACAAAATTAACACGAATTGCACTATGATGACTAGATGCTTCTTATTATTGCTAAAAAATTTGATTATTATTAGTATATGTATAGTTTGATGAACACTAATAACACAATCTTGTAAAGAAAACATCAAGGTAATTAGAAAAAGAAAGTTTGAAAAGGTGATCAAAGAGGACAATTTTAATTTCACTACAATTTGGTTTAATTAGTGGAAAGTGACAAGGGTTGAAGAAACCTTTTTCCAAGAGTTGTGCATCTGATCAGTACTACTAGGATTCTCTTTAATTTCACCTGGGATTCATCAAAGATTCTTGTTTTCTTCGCTTTTACCTCCCCACATGATGTGTTTGTACTATATATAAATATATTGTTTCCTACCTGGTGTCCGGTATTTAAATTGGAGTCCGATTATATTTGGATTCGCATAGAAAAGTCTCACATTGTGGAGAGAGGGGAGTTCTCTAACAAAGGCGACTCCGTACCCAAGGTAACTCGACCCGAGACCTCTGGTTAAGGATAAAAGAGTACTTACCACTAGGGGTGTACATAGGTCAGTTTGGTTTGGTTTTTCATTAAAAAAAATCTAAACCAATTATGTCGGTTTATTAAATCTAAAAACCAAATCAAACTACATAAAGTCGGTTTTTTCGGTTTAGACTTTAGTCGGTTCTTTCGGGTTTTTTTGGTTTTTTGGTTTTTTACAACTATACGGTATTTGAAAAAGAGATCAAATATATTTTCACTTACATGTGTGATAAGCTAAAGTTAAAATATGTTAAATGAATAGAAATTTTTAAAAAGACGGTAAAATTCACATGAGTACAAATTATTATTTTTAAATATCAACGTTCTTTATGTTAAATTAATAAGATTAAAGGCTACATGCAAACTAAATATTTACAAAGTAAACTGTTAACTTCGAATTTGAAAAACTATAACAATATGATTGTAACTTCAGATCTTAATACAAAATAAAGTATTTACAAATTTTACAAGTCCAAATTTGAAATAAAATATATAAACATTGAAAACTATAAAACTAACTAAAAATATATTAAAAAAGTAGATTATAAATAATATTTTTTATCTATAAATAAAATAAAATAATATATATATATATACACACAAAATTTTACAAGCCCAAATTTTAAATAAAATATATAAACATTGAAAACTATAAACTAACTAAAAATATATTAACAAAGTAGATCATAAATAATATTTACAAAATTTTACAAACCCAAATTCTAAATAAAATATATAAACATTGAAAACTATAAACTACACTAAAAATATATTAACAAAGTAGATTATAAATAATATTTTTTTATCTATAAATAAAATAATTATATATATATATATATATATATATATATATGTTGGTTTGGTTTGAGTTCGATTTGACTTTTTTTCTTTTAATACTAAACCAAACCAAGAGTGGTCGGCTTTTTTTTTCAACCGCCAAACCAACCAAACCAAACCACAACTCGGTTTTTTTTCCGGTTTGATTTGGTTCGTCAGTTTGGTTTGACTTTACGGTTTGACTTGTACACCACTACTTACCACTCCACCACAGTTCTTGTGGTATCATCAAATGTTGTGATGTGTCGATAATTAAGTATTTCTTTTATTTTCAATTCAATGTATCAAGTTTGAATTATGAAAATAAAATCGTATCTGATCGGAGTGTTAGTAAAATAAATATTTTTTAGGCGAATTAAAATTAATTAGGTCTCAAGGTAGATAATAAGTTAATTCTAGCCATGAAAATGATTGTCATGTAAATGAATTTGAGGGAGTACTAATTAAGAATCATAGTCAATATAATTAAGTATGGTAAATTTCAGATAAATTTAGACTGAAACTTGAGAACTTCAGATCCAAGAGAATATTGCCTCCTCTTAACAGTTATATATCGACCCAATTAATTTAGATTTAGGAAATATGTTTCTTAAGGAGTATAAAAAGATTTCTGATTTCCTACTAAGAAGTTCTCGATTCCTAGTGTAACGACAGTCCAAACTCATGACACGTATTATTTATTTTGATTTGATAAACTTGATGAATTTGTCTCTTGGATGATGTTATTATCGAGCTCCAAATATGTATATATATGTGATGTGAACTTGTATTATGTCTCATACAATTATATTCTATTTCCTCTTTCACTAAAATATGAAATTTATTAAAGTATTATATGTATCTTTCTTCAAAAATCTAACCTCATTAGCACGCCCTTCATCATGCACGCACATTAAGGGATGTGAATTGACTTTTTAAAGGTAATTTATAAGCTAAAAAATAAAACTCATAAGTTGAGGTAGTCAATTTTTTACTTTAATTTGAACTTAAAAGAAAGTGCTAAAATATATGTTTTGTCATTTAAAATACTTTAAATTTTTTTTAAAGTTACTTAATATAAGTCAATCTAAACATCCTTAACAGTCCTTCACACCATGTACACAATAATTTTTTAACTCAAGTATAAAAGAAAGAACTAAAAGTAAAAATAATTAAAATATTTTTTTTGTTTTTCATTCGGTGTTTGATATCCACATTAGAGCTCAATTAAATTCAGATTCACGTTTTAGCGCTCTAAAGACAACTCCACACCTAAAAAAATTTAAACTCAAAACATCTAATTAAGAATAAAAAATTAACATCTAATTAAGAATGAAAAAATACTTACTATTTTTAGTGTAACAAAATTTTGAAACATTTGATTTGAGACATGTTAAATTAGGTCTTAGGCCTAACTCACACCCCAAAAGCTAGCTCAAAGGGAGGAGGATTGCCTAAGCCTTGTAAGGAGTCCACCCATCTCATAAACCACCGATGTGGGACTTTTGTCATTCTTTAACACCCCACCTCACGCCCAGTGCTTAGCATCTGGTGCGTGGGCAATTTTGATTTTGGGGGCCCCAACATCGGGTGAGACGGGCCCTGCTCTGATACCATGTTAAATTAGGTCTTAGGCCTAACTCACACCCCAAAAGCTAGCTCAAAGGGAGGAGGATTGCCTAAATCTTATAAGGAGTCCACCCATCTCATAAACCACCGATGTGAGACTTTTGTTATTCTTTAACAGACATTAACTAGCTGTGGTTGTTGCTCCCCAGCTGGATCTATAAGGTTGTGGAGTTTTCTGTTCTAACCCCACATGTCCCATCATATTACCCTTTTCCCCTAAAGATTCCAAACTCACTTTTATATATTTCCACTTGATTAATTTTCCTAACATTAAAATTAATTTTTTTTTCTCTTTTTACCAATACCCTCAACAAAATTTCAGATGCTGTCACCCACTTTTTTCAACTATAAAATCCAAGCTAAAACACCAAAATAATCCTCTCTCTTTTACCTTCTTTTCTCTCTCTATTATTATACACTTTCTAGCATTACTCTATTTTTATTCTTAAATAAAATATTTGTCTAGTTTTGAGTAAATATATATTGATGCTAAACTTATTATTTCTCATCTTTGAAATTGATGTCTGCAATTCTCAATGAACTCTTTCTTTGTGGTTTTATGATAACCACATATAGGCGCAGGACCCATTTGGTGCAATCTTTTTCTGTTGTTTTTCTCTATTGGTTTTATTGCATCTCATAATCAAATTAATTATGTTATTTAATTAATTCCCCCCATAAAATTATTATTATTGCATACACATAAGTACTACTTATATTTTCAACCAAAAAAAATCACTAATTTGGGTCCTGCTAATTTTTAATTACTATTATTTAAAAAAAAATTGGTCATGGCTTCATCAAGTGGAACATCATCAGGGTCAGGGTCAGGGTCAGGATCAGGGTCAGGGTCATATACACTTCTAAACTCGGGTTCAGAAGAAGATTTACAACAATTGATGGATGAGAGAAAGAGGAAGAGAATGATATCAAATCGCGAATCAGCTCGGAGATCGAGAATGAAGAAACAAAAGCATTTGGATGATCTCATGTCCCAATTGTCCAATCTCATGAAAGAAAATAACGAAATAATGACAAGCATGAGTGTCACGACCCAAAATTACCTGAATATTGAGGCTGAAAACTCAATCCTAAGAGCACAAGTGTCTGAACTCAAACAAAGGTTCGAGTCCCTGACAAAAATCACAAGTGTCTTGAGTTACAACGGCAACGACAATGGAATATCAAATGATCAGATAATTTATGAGTCGTCTTTGGCTGATGTGCTTATTCAGAACGAATCTTGGAATTATATGTACCACCCCATCATGACCGCAGACATCATGCAATATTAATTGGTTTATAAATTAAGGGCTTAATCATCATCAGCAGGAAATATGATTAAGAAATTTTTAGTATTAGTAATTACTACTAATTAGTACTTACTACTTTGGAGGGGTGTGTTTAAGTAAAGATTAATTAGTTTGTAAGAATGAGTCCATATATTGTTATTAGTCAATATTGGGGGTGTTTGTAACTTTGTGCAACTTGTAATTACTAATTAGTATGGTTTTTTCCATTTTTAACAACTTATGCAATTGGAAGTGGCAGATTTTTAGTATTATTGATAACCATTTTCAGTATAGTTACATTATTATAATTTATTGGCTTAGATTAATACTTAAATATATTAACGCTACCTTAAAGTTGGTAGCATTTCAACTCACGTGTATTGTCTAAACTATTAGATATTTCATATTTATATTCGACTTTATATTTTTTTATTTACAGTGTTGTACGCACAAAAAAATATAATTGATCAATACTTAACAAATAAACAAATCAAAGTTAGATTCTGATATAGTTAAATATTGAGTATATAGTTTTCCGTGAGTCTTTCTGTTTTAATTTGTTTGTCTTATTTTAACTTGATATGAAATTTAATAAAATAAAGAAAAAAATTGAATTTGGTGATATTATAAACTTAAAATATGTCAAATTATTAAAATACTATAAATTTTGTGGTATTAAACATATCAGATATGTGAAAAGTTAACGAAAAATGACATAGTTTTAGTAATTGAATAAAAAAAATAGAATAAACAAATTGAAATGAAGGAAATATTATAAATACTTTTAAAATATTTTTTCTTGTAATTTCGAAAGATGTATTAGTATAATTTTAAAGATTTTTTTCTTCGCGACTTAAAAAATCGTCCAAGGAGGAGCTTTGGCACTAGGGGTGCGCATCGGTCGGTTCGGTTCGGTTTTAGGTGTTATTGGTTCGGTTTATCGGTTTTCGGTTTGTAAATACTTCAAACCAATAACCAAACCAATAACATATTTCTTATCGGTTTTTGGTTAATCGGTTTATGGTACTTAACGGTTCGGTTTTCGGTTTAACCAATAAGAAAATACTCATATATATTATATACACGATTAAAAAAAATTCAAATAAACCATATGATTTTTCCAGCATTTGGCATGAAAGTAATAATCATAAAAGTAACAATCATTTTTCTTGCAAGTTTAGACACTAGACACATTCAAAGGAAAAAGTGTGAAAGTAACAATTGTTTAACCGTTAACAAAAAGTGTGAAAGTAACAATCGTTGAACCATTAACAATAAGACTAGTAAATTTAGTATAGTCTTATTGGGTTATCGGTTTAACCATTAACAAAAATTATAAAACCGGAAACCGAACCAATAACCCAATAAAAAAATTTACAAAACCGTTTAAAAACCGTTAGCCCAATAACCCAATATCAATAAACCAATAGTGTTTTTTTCGGTTCGGTTTATTGGTTAAATCGGTTTTTGCACACCCTTATTTGGCACAGTGATATGGTTTATTCTTACTCAATTAATTAGTTATTATCTCAAAAAGTCATATTTTTTATATTTTATATTTTTAATAAAAATAACTTTTTGAGACAATAATTATTAGTTGAATGACAGTAAGAATCAATTCATTTTTATTGTTGTGAAATTAGGGGTCGTTTTGTTTGAAAACAAATTTATGATGAGATTAATTATGTCGAAATTAGTTATTCTAGTATTATTTCTTTAGTAAATGTTTGGTTTATTGTATTAAAAATGCATTGCATAATTTTTGAGAATAAGTTGTTTGTTTACAAAAATATCCTCCATATCCATATGTGTAAATGATGTGAAAAGTGATGTATAAAAAAGATTGGAGAAAGTATTTTTTTTCATTTTAACTATTTTATCCTGAAATAAGTTATCACAAAATTATCATTCCACCCAGAGGCAAGTATAGTCTATCTCAATACTAATTATTAATTCTGCAATAAAATTATTCCAAACTTTACAAAGAATTAATTGATACTAAAAATTTATTCGAGAATTCTCTTGCTTTATCTATCTCATCAAACATGTCCTTCGTGATTAATTTCTTATCAACATTTTTTTATATATATTAATATAAATGAGGCTAAACAACAAGTACTATAGATAAACACAAATGTCCAGTTGTCCACGTTGAGCTTGAAATCCAACCTAAATTAAACTAGCAACACACTTGATCATGTATTAAGTTTATTCTCATATAATTTTCTTTGTATGTAGTAAAATTTAAAGATGGTTTGCTTCTCGTATTAATTATTTTTGAGATTATAATTTTGAATTTTAATTCTTGTATTGATTTAATTCAAATGAGATGTAGAATAAAATTATTCCCAAGTTTAATATGATAAAATGTGATATCTAAAATTAAATTTGGAATAAAATTTATATTTTATTAAATTGACAATATAATAATCAGTAATATTATTCTGTTTGGGTCACAAAATGTGACCTTTCTTCTTTATTTTGTTTTATTTTTCAATTATTTATTACTCCTATTAGTTTTATATGTTACTTTTTCTCATTTGTTTCTTCTTCCTCTTCGTACCCTTTTTTTTAAAAAAAAAAAATTGTTTTCCTCTTCGAAACAAAATAACTCGTTCTAAGATAATGAACAAGTAAAAGTGAATATTTATGACCCTTACCATGCTCTAGTCCTCTTTCGTCGTTCAATGCAATAGTTTATTTAATTTTTAAACGTGATCTATTTAACTGATGTTATAACACATTTCACAATCCATCTTGGAGAGGGAAATTAATAAGCAATCACTGTTATTCTTTTCACTCAAAATTAGAGTATCACGCCAAACATAAAGATTGAATCAATAAATTATCGTAATAAATCTATGTAACTGTTAGGGTTTTGCCCTGATTTTCTTACCATAATTTAAGATTTATTTTTTCTTAAAGAAAAGACAAAACATTACCATAAATGTTTTTACTTTTACTAAAAGGAAAATATAATATTCTTTCATATTTGGTTTATTCTTTCCTCTTAGAAAAAGGTTTTGGAGTAGCTAGTTCTTTTCTAGTAGGAAAGGTTTTAGGACTCTATAAATATAGGTTTGTTTCTTCTAACACAAAACAATAACATCCACAATGTAGTCGTTTAAGACTTTTGTTTATGGGGAGATTTATTCTCTCTAAAGTTTCAATGCTTTTTCTTTATATTAATTTGATATAATAATATTTTGATTTTTAGTATAAGTTTTTGTTATCTGATTTATCAACTATATGATTTGTAAATTGTAAGCTTCCGCATGACGCCCTAATCACCCTTCATAACCCAACAGTAACATCATTTTATTATCTTCCAAAATCGTTCAATAAATATTTAATAAGATGACAATATGTGTTGAACTGAATTTCAAATTATGTTAATTGTTAGGTATGAGAGATCTTTATGGACGGTGACTCTGTCCCCATTTAAGGTGGTTGTAATTTTGTTTGTATCAATAAATAAAGCTATATATGCTTGTCACAATAAAGTTCTCTCAATTCTTGCTTTAAATAAGATCAAAGTCGCATCTTATATTTGTTTTTGTTGTTCAATCAATGATATAAGAGTTAATGAGATTGGTTATCACAAGACACACTCCAAACTATTTGGTGTAGTAAGCATCCATTTAGTTGTATTATTAAAGCATTACACTACAAAAAAAATACTAATTTTCCATTGAAATTTTATTCCACGGAAAAATATTTTATTTTCATGAATATTTTGATTGAATTAGTGAAAAAGAAAAGAAAAAAAAAGTCTAATAACTTTTCCTAGTATTTCAATGGAAATCTGTTTTCAATCATGCATTTTCTCGGTAAGCGGCCGGTTCGATGAAAGTGAAACAGAAAAATCATGTTCTATAGTATGAATTTCTTGTTGATTCGCGATAAGAAAAATCTTCGTTTTTAATAGCCTTGATGTCATATGGTTTAAATTCCAGTTTTAACTATTGCAAATCCTTCCAATTCCAAATATGAAATGTGGCATGTGTGAATTGTGATACATACACGTCTTTAAACAATTATTGTTTTGGTAGAAAATGAATGTTTGGACCCAAACTCAAAATATAGAAGTAATAATATAACTAAGGAAGCATAATAAATTCACATTTTTCTCCTCCCTTGTTGTATAATTAATTTAATGTAGTGTCGTGTTAGTCATATTTTGTTGATGAGCATAATTTGTGTCACATTTTTCACCTCACTTGATTGAGGGGAAATGTTGCTACATGATTTGTGTCACATTTTAAGGACTCAATGTATATGTATACAAAATGTATTAGGAGTAAATGGGGAGGGGAATATAACGTGGGGAATTGAACTCTTATCAATAAGGTGAAAGTTCAGATAGTCAACCAACTGAGCTATTAAGATTTCCGCTCCTTTTCATTACTTATTTTCTCCATTTTTTCACTTTTTTAAATTTAGATGGAAGCCACATGTCACGTGACATAGTTAAAAATCAAAGATTGAGATTTAATTGACTATATATATCAAGGTCCTAACAAAGTAATTTCTTTATTTACTTTTTAAAAAATTGACAATTCCACCATTCTAGCTAAAAAGATTCCAATAATATATGCTACTTTGGTCATCTCGATTTATGTGGCACTAATAGAATTTTGAGAGTCAATTAATCAAATATTTTATATGACTTTTAATTTATGTTATTAATTATTGTGATTTATAGTACTTTTTACGTTATTTTCAAATAATATATGTTACTTTCTCCGTCCCAACTTATGTAACACTAATAGAATATTGAGAGTCAACCAAATTTTAAATATGTCTTTTAAATATTTTAAGTTGCCAGTTATTGTAATATATAATACCATTTTTGTAATTTTCAAATAATATATTTTACTTCCTCTATCTAAATTTATGTGGCACTAATAGAATTTAGAGGACCATTTAAATTATTAATGTCTTTTAAATAAATATGTTGTTAATTATTGTGATTTATAGTACTTTTATGTCATTTCAAATAATATATGTTGCTTGCTCTTACTCTGTCCC